GGGGCGAGGCCCCAAGCGGCAGGGACGGGGCCTGCCCTTAATGGGTCCGCTCCGGAAGAGCCTCAGGGCCCTCTAGCGGCTCCTTGCGGGCGGGAGGATCCGGCCCCAGCGCTGGCTGTGGTGCGGAGTACAGCACTAGTGAGCGTGCAGAATACCGGCGCAGTAATAGCGAGCGTGCAAAAATACTGCGGTGCAATAATAGCGAGCGTGCAAAATGCTCTGTCCTGCCCCGGAAGACCAGAGAACAGCTGCCGCCGGGGCAGGGGTCTGTGCCCCTTGCTTGCAAAGAACTTCTCTGACTTTTAGCTGGTCACGTGCAGATCACATCTACCCCCATAACCATGTCTGCCCCCGTCCTTACCCGACACGGCTACAGCCAGCACCCCCAGAGCACATGACCATTTTTAAGGAAGCACCGCAGCCCCCAGCTTCCGGGTTTGCTGTCAGCGCTTTGACACCCACTGCCTTAAAATAAAAAAAAATGCCTCTACTTTGACGACCCACTTCTCACTCACTGGCCCTTATAGTGAGCAATATAAAATAAGTATGCAAATCAAGTCGTCATCTCATTTGCATATCGTTTCAGTGTACAGTAGTTTTTCAGCTAATACAATAATTTTGAGTTTCCAGTACAAATAAGTTCATATTCAAGACCTAGCACCACTGTTCAGAAAAAAAAAAAAGGCAGCAAGCGCATGCCCTTTAAAAAGAAAGCGCATGCGCCAAAAAAACGAGAGAGGACCCGCCCCATATCGGAGAGGCCTGATCACCCTCCCCGGAGGCCCTGCGCCCACGAAATCCCTTCCCCCCCGGACACCCCCCATCACGACCGAGTATATCATTCCAACGTGTTTCGAGCTCTCGAGTCACCAGCGAGTTTAATCTTGAAACTGCTATAAAGGAAACCACCTCTATGGAAGTGCAAGTAAAGCATTTATTTGTTACACCACCTCCTTAATTGTTTTCTGTCAACCGGAAGAGAGACAAGAGAAGGAGAAAGGAGGTCCCGTAACCCTTTCGTCCCCGGCCTGTTCGCGCAGCACTTTTCTGGGTCCAACCACCCACCGTCAGGTTGGTCATGGCGTCACGGACAGGATCTTCGGGGCAAAGGGGGAACGAAGGAGACGTTGACGAGTTAGTCAGGTGTTGCCCGTGGGGGAACCGTCACTGGCCTCTGACCACGGACGCTGATACTCTGTGGGCCCACGTGGCGTATCATCTAGCTGGGCAAGACGGGAAGATAGGGGGCTGTGTCTCCATCCGCCCGACCGAGGGCAGCTTAAAGAATGGGTCATGTCCAGCCTCAGCCCCGCAGCCCTAGGATGCCTCCTTTCCAGCCCCGCGGTTCTTTACCACCCACCCGACACAAAACCAGAGGCACTACTTAGCCGCGTCAAGCCCACAGGCACAGACGACCGCACTCCCGCAAAAGAGTACACCAGGTGCATCCAGTACCTAAAGGAGGGGAGCGGCTGCGAAACCCCTCCTGATAAATTCAGATGCCCCAACCTCGATCCCGGGGGCGCCGAAAATGAAATCCTAACGGCACTCCGTGAGAGTCTTGAGACCGATGGGCTGGATGCCACAGGGTGGACAGGGCAAAAGTGGAATAAGGGAAAGATGATTAATGTCCTGTTTCGCTCGGTGAATCGTGTTCCACTTGGTGACCACCTTACTACAACACGCGGCGAACCAAGCCAGCATAATAGATACGCTGACTAAGGCGGCCGCGCAGCAGAGTACCGCACAGCCCGAGCCACCACTTAAAGATGGCACCGTGAAAGAAGAAGAGGGAATGGCCGAAAAGTTCCGGGCGGGAAACCCCGACGCTAGCAAAACCCGCACCCTCACTACTTTCCGCACGCGTGCCAGAGGGGAACTCCGAGAGTTGGCAAGAGACACCCGACTAAATCCGGGTGAAACACTGGTAATGTGGGTAGGACGATTAATATTAGAACACGGGTCAGATTTAGTAGACCCTGAGGAGTGTACTACCCTAATGCACCAACCCGCATGGAGCGGAGGAGCGTGTAGCGACACGACTCAAATACTGCGCAACAAGGTTTGGCCAATCCTGCTGCCGTGGTCCCAGCGCTGCTAAACCGAGCTCACGCTTGGCATGCGGATCCACCCGGTGATTCATCGCCCGCACAGCTCCTGTATGCAATAGCGGGAGCCAGTTACTTAACCTGGGACGCCGGACGGTATCCACTAACCCTGACTCCACATCAAGCAAACAGTATTTGGCCGCATCGCTGGTGTAACGATCCTGGCAAGGTCCCTGTGTCTGCATCAGCAGTGGAGGCCTGCGTTGAGGTTTATGGAGGTATGAATACACCCATGTTCCACTTGTTATTACACCTGCTGGTAGGGGGCTGATAGGGAACGTTCTAAGTAGCCTGGGAAAGCTTACCACAGCGCGTAAAACAGAACCCAAGCCCACCCCGCCAGCGGCAGGACAGGCGGTAGGAGCGTGGAAAGCACCGCCTAGTAAACCCCAAACTGATCGCTCGCCGCATGGACGACTGCCGGACCGCACACCTGAGGAACGTGCCATGTTTGGTTTTCTGCTGAGCAAAAGCGGCTTGACAAAGAATCAGCTTTGTGGGTTAGGAGATGAGGGGCAAAGAGTACTGGCGCTGAACCTAGGCTTTAAGCTTAGGGGGCAGGAGCCAGACAAAGAAAAAAACAAATAGCGGCCGTCGATACGGGCAGCGACGGCTGACCCACCAATGACGAACGCCCGTACGCAACCTATAGTGTGAGCGCAACTGCAGATTCTACCCCTATCCCTACGCACTTTTTGCTAGACACGGGAGCCCAAGTAAACGTGTTAAGATCTGTAACGCCCCATGTCAAGACATCCAAAGTCATCTTTGTACAAGGGCTAAATGCTATGACATCCGCGCCCGTGGTCAAGTTTTGGATCAACAAAAGGGCCCTGCATGGAGTCTTAGGGGGCATAAACATCTTGGGCATCCCCGCAATAAAGGCGTTGGCCTTAAAGAACGCCATATACCTAGCACTCCCATTGACTGTGGCACCAGGCGAAAAACACCAGCCAGTGCTAGTAAACCCTGCGCCCTGGCGGTATCAGCCGATCCTGACGCGCACTGACCTGCAGTCCCAGATCCGAAACCTCTTGGCTGACCTGGGCAAGCGAGGATGCATTCAGCCTGTAAAATCCTCCACCTACCTTTCGGCCGGATGGGGCATCCCCAAACCAGGAAACCAACGGAAGCTCGTCTGGTGGTGGACTACCGACAAGCGAATCGTCGCTGTAAACCGCTCCAAATGCCCGCTGCGCAAACCGTCTCGGACATCCTCGACGGCATAACCGAGATGCAGAGGGGCGGAGAGTGGTTTGCCACCACACTAGACTTAAAGGACATGTTTCATTCGATCCCTATATATGACCCGCATGGGATCCTTAATATGTACGTAGCCGGACAAATGTTTTCCTGGAAGGTTTGTCCACAAGGTTACCGCAATGCACCAGCACTAGCAGCCACAGCGATGAATGGGACGATCGACAGCTTTGTTCGTCCCCGCCCAAAGACCGCAGACGTTCGCATCTGGACCTATGTCGACGACATTGTCATCACGGGGCACGATCGTGCTGCGGTGCGCACCACTACTGCGGACCTAAAGGACCACCTGAGCAATCAAGGATGGACGGTAAACCCGGCCAAGTCCATGAGCGAGCCATCCTCGGACATTAAGTTTTTGGGGACACGATTCACAGGACAATGGCGATCAGGAACGGTGCAGAACGTTACCCCTGAGTTGTCCTCACCTTGGCCGACCACACAGACAGACTTTCAAGGCCTGCTAGGCCAGCTGAATTGGTTCCGCAATTTCATAACGCCATCACATTTAAAAGTTATCCAACGGTTGCAACACCAAATTCGCAAGAAAACACGACACAGAGTCCCACGGGGTGAGCGTGACCAAACTGCGCTGGAAAAAGTTATGACAGAGGTTAAAGAGATGCGTCTGATCGCCCCCCCCGCCGGCAATCTCTTGACAATTCACGTAGGCTACACCACGGAGCATATCTGGTTTACAGCCAGTGACACTGAAACGGGGAAACTCGCGTACACTGGTCACCGCACACTCAAAAGCCACCAACATCGGTATGGTTGTCTAGGGAAAGTCATGCTCGCGGCTCAACTAGGAGAACACCTCGCAGCGAGCCCAGGTGTACTTGTCGCACCCGGCGGCACCACACTGGAATTACTTAACCCTGGTGAAATCCACCCGGAGTATCAGGGCACGGAAAAAACATGGAGCGCCCTAGTCCTTCGTCGCCAGTATCACTGGTCGACGTGGCAAGTCACTGACAGAGAAATGATTCCGGCTGCCGAAGAGGATGATCTCATTGTACCACGATTGTATGGGACCACATCCCCGGCGTGGATAGCTTCAGATGGTACATCCCGTGATGGTGGAGGGTATGGATATTATTGTGACCCCTGTCACAACTACGAGCTCCAAATGTCCCATCCAGGAGAGTCGGTCCAAGCATCTGAACTACGAGGCTTTCAACTAGCTCTTGAACACACCTACCGTCACCACGATGGGACGCTTCCGGTACCTGTCATAGCTGTAGACTCAGAATATATATACACAAGATTGTTACCGGAATGGCACAGGTTACGGAACACACAACCCTCTGGGGCGATGTCAAGACCACCATATTACATTTCTCTGTTCGCCCCTTAATCAAGCACAGGCGCCCTCACCGACCTGACACGGACCCCGTACATGCCGTCATAGATCAGCTACTGGCCCACCAAGGACCCATGAACCAAAAGGACACACCTCAGTTACACGTCACTGACATCATAGACACCGACCCCTTTCTCGCTTGGCTCCACGAGCGTTGGGGACACCTCGGAGCAAAAAGGGCGCAAGCTCGCTGGAGGGAGCAAAGCAACAAAGGACCGAGCGTAGAACAGTGGAAAAGGATAATCCAAGCCTGCTCTGCCTGTGCGCGAGAAAAACCGGTACACTACAAGCACCAAAAGGGCGCCTATGACCCAGCGCACTTTGCTCCAGGTAAGGTGTGGCAAGTGGACCTGCTCGGGCCACTCCCAGGAGCCAAGCCACCAAACAAGGGGCTAGTAATCGTAGACCTGGGAACCCGTCAAATCCTCGTCCTCCCCACAAGGAAGACCACCGCTCCCGTAATTCAAGGATGCCTACAGGTCGCTTTCACCCATTGGCAAGTGCCCCACATCATACACTTCGATGGAGGACCACCTTTTAACTCCAAAGGCTTAGAGTGGTTCGCGATAGAGCATAATGTTCAGTGGCATCACCATCTACCCTATCACCCGCAGTCCAATGGCGTCGTGGAGCGCCAGATAGGACTATACAAGGAACAGTTAAGGCTAAGGGAAAATGGATCATTCAAGAACTGGACCAAGTACAACAATGATGTACTAATTGCCATGAACGCCACTAAAGCTTTGTGGGATGAACGCACCCCGGTGCCACGTCCACCTTGGAAGCCATGTTACTCATCCCAAGAAGCAGTGTGGCTAACCATTCCCACAGCTACCAATAAGCACCCAACCCCAGCTCCCGGTGTTGTACTTAAACCCGGCGAGTACCCGAATACCTATTTTGTTTCTCTTGAAGCAGTCTCACCTGCACGCACCGTCTTGGCCCACCATAATTGGCTAAGTCGACGTAGTACAGTTTAGTATACATTACTAACGAACCCCAAGTTTTGTTTTCCAGCCCGAAACGGCATGAAGTCGCCGATGTATGACATGGTGTGAAACTCGTATTCGGGACAACTGTCGCCGTGAGTGAACCCATTGGCGACGACCCCAGCAAAACACGCCATGCTGCATCCTGACAGACGCGGTTGGATTCAGTACTGACTAACTATCTGACTTATTTGCAAGTCTTGAGTGAAATTTTACACTTTTGATACCATTGTTTAGTGCCTTATTATGTATTTGTATTAGATGTTGTATTTTGTACGTTTTAGCTTTGTATATACCCACTTACTCGCTATAGGAAAAGAAGTTCTCGAGCTTAAACATGTCCGAAATTGGCATTTGGTCAAGGGGGCATGTGATAAAGAGAAGAAAAAATAAATCACCAAACGCCAAACATAAGAGCAAGTTGTGCTTGTGGCGTGGGGGAGGTGATGGGCGCGGCTTGATAGCCACGAGATCGGCGGTCCCGGCCTGTGCTGATTGGCAGGGGCGTGATCGGAGGAGGAGAGAGAGAAAAAAAAAAGGCGGCAAGCGGATGCCGTTTAAAATGAAAGCGCGCGCGCCAAAAAAACAACAGAGAGGACCCACGCCATATCGGAGAGGCCTGATCACCCTCACCGGAGGTCCTGCATCCACGAAATCCCTTCCTCCTGGACGCCCCCCATCACGACCGAGTATATAATTCAAACGTGTTTAGAGCTCTCGAGTCACCAGCGAGTTTAATCTTGAAACTGCTGTAAAGGAAACCACCTCTATGGAAGTGCAAGTAAAGCATTTATTTGTTACACCGCCTCCTTAATTGTTTTCTGTCAACGGGAAGAGAGATAAGAGAAGGAGAAACAAGGTCCCGTAACCCTTTCGTCCCCGGCCTGTTCGCGCAGCACTTTTCTGGGTCCAACCACCCACCGTCAGGTTGGTCACTTCCGACAATTTTGTAACTCAGTAACTGGCAGGGGCGGCCCGTGCCTGGCTTGTAAGACCCACCGAGACCGAACAGCAGCGACACAGCAAGTGCAATGACTGCCTGCACGTGTCACTGTAAGGCGGACCTCAAGGTTTGCAAAAAATGTTCCCCAAAACAAAACCTGGCCAAGCCAAAGCTGCCAGGTGGGCAGCAACTGCTAACATAGGTTTGTTACGTCAAGTTCAAGGAATGCAAAGAAATGGAGACAAATGCATTAATAACCTATTTATTAGAGATCCTTTCCAAAAAATAAAGGGAAGGGCAGAAGGGGAAGCAGAAATGAGGAGGATGTTGCATACAAGTGTCATTAGTTCGTGTCAGCAGTAGTTGTATGGTTTATACAGAAATTCCACAGCTCTGGATTCAGAGGTGCAGTCCCCTCTAAAAAAGGAACCCAAGCTTAGAGATTGTCAAAAGTATCAGAAAAAAAGTGTCTAGTGGAAGCCTCCTAAAGAGTTAAGGGACATACACAGTTTCATAAATCACAGAGTAAAACAGAACAGAAATATGACTTGATACCATTTAAAAACAAAAAAAGAAAGGGTTTTGTCCAGCATTTAACTTGCGTTAACTGGAAATTGGTTTGCTGGAGTTAGACCACATGCTTGCAAAGGTCAGTGGTCACAGTCCAAGTTTTCATTCCAGGAAACAAACACTTGGGAGTACTTACAGACATTAGCTAGTTCATGTCAACGGCCAATTAACTCCAGTCTAAACAAAACTAGAAGTCATAGAAATTTCATATACAGAGGGAAGGAGAGAGAGAGAAAAATCAAGAATGAGCACAGATTATGGAGTCTAGGAAACAAAAATCACCAACAGTTTGATGAGAGGACTCCACTATTGACAAGAGTATTGCATTTGAGCTAAGTTCATGATTCCAAGAGGAGAACATTGCATCTAAACTGTCTCACAAAATGCCTTTGTTTTAATACAGTACAATAGTTCAAATAGTATCCACTTTCTTAGCAATAGCAGCCATCATAGACAAAACAGGGTGCAATCTCACGCTTAGAGTATTTACAGGATTTTTTTTTTGTTTTTGTTTTATTTTATTTTTTTACACTAAAATGGGAAAAATATTTTAGGAACCATTCCCATTGGGTTTTGGGTAAGGCAATTAATTCACTAGACATTATAAATTGTTTGCCTCTTGGGTTTACATCAAAGACTACAATATGCTTTATCACATAGCCTAGGAACAATTAGCATTGATTTACAGTTCTCTGATAAAAGATTTCCAAAAAAGCATTCATGACTTAGAAAACAAACAGAAAAATAAAAACATGACAATATCCATGGACTCATCATATTTTCCACCAAAGAACCCCCCCACCTCCCCAAAATACCCTACTTACATACATTCTTTACATGATGCACACATACGGAGCATACATAAAAAATGACCTTGTAATATGAACATCAGATATAACAATATACTTGGGTCTAATGTAGACTTCAAAGAAATCAGACATGATCCAATAAGCCTGAGCCATCTCATTTGCCTTTCTGTTTATAAACAGGGCAGTGATGCTGGGTGGGAGTGTGAAGAAACAAATACTATGGCTGGTTCTAGCTACTTGGAGGAGTGGACAGAGCAATGTTTCAGGGGCCAACTGTCTGAGGAGGAGTGGGACAATGCAAGCAGAGAGCTCCTGACAACACAGGTGCCCCTGCCACGTACCACAGCCATGCCAGCTTCAGTGCCAAGATTCTTCATCTTTTTGTGGCTTCAAGGAAGGCCTCCAGAAGTGCAATTTCAGCTTGCTTAGCTAGATGCTACTGGACAGGGGGAAAGACAACCCAAATATTAGTGTGCTGAAGAGTTAGCTGCAGTAGAGAATACAGCTGAGGATCCCACGTTCTTTCACCAGAATCTTGGGGCTTTCATTTCAAAGACTTGGACAAAGTCCCTCTGGAGCAGCAGTGTTTGCAGTTGGGTTTTTTTTAAACGATGAAGTGCCCACAGCTGGATTCTGCTGTGTAAAAGAAGTTGCTGTGGTCACCTCTGGAGACAGGTGGGCTTGCCTGGTACAACTCCCAGCTGCGAAATAGCCCACTCTGGGTTTAGTTGGTTCATCTTGTCATTCAAACTGAGGATTCCCTTAGTAGTGATTCTCAATTAGAAAAGTTCAGATCATTTGTGACCGAATAACTCCTAGTGTTCATTTCTGCCAAGTAACAAGTCCAGATTCCAAGATCACAGGCCACTCCATGGACCTGCACCTTGCGAGTTCACAGTCGGCATTTCTCTGTAGAGTCAGAATCGCACTTCACTGCCTGGCTCCAGGCCCCTGGAGTCTAACATAACATGTTCCCTTCATAATCCTGTACCTCAGACTTCAGAAATAATCTTACCAGAAGGCAATACCCCCTCTACCCCCACACCAGGCTCTTTAAGCAGGGCTGAGAGATACAAGATGAAGGGCTGGAGATGATGGACAGCAGTGATGAACAAAGCTGCTTTGAAGTCTAGATTCACTGGATTGCAGTTGGGGTGTTTATTTAATATTTCAAGGAGACATGAAGAAGCTGCCTTCTCTGGCAGATATCAAGCAATCTAGACCTTCACGCAGGTGAAGCTGTATAAACAAACCATCAGCTGCAGAGCTGTAAATTAAAGAAAATCCTAAACAGAACTACATAAAGGTAGCTGGGCTTCTTTAAGATAATTCAGAGGACCAACGGAGATAGACAAAGCTCCGTTTCAAGGTAGTGAACAAATAGGTTGGAACAAACACCCCTCTGATGCAAGGGAGCCTCAAAGAAAGAAATAGAGAGCCCCTAAGAAAAGCCACTTACTGGATTAGTAAACTGCACAAAGCTGCCATCCTGAAGTCCACACAGGGTGGAAATACTCTAGTCCAAAAGATGGAAAAGGAGAGTTTCAATCTTTCACACTGCACAGGGAGCCTCTCCAGTAATGGAAATGGGAGTTCAGCTAGGGCAACTTGTTGTGGACACAACTGTACAATACACACGATCGTGCAATGCTTTTGAGTGAAGGATTGAACAGGACAACATGATTTCTATGACTGACCAACTTCTCCCTGCCTTCCGCCTGCACTGGGGAAAAGATTGTTGTATTTTTGTTGGCGTTTTGGAGCGAGGGGGTTGGTAGAGTTATTGTTTTTTGCTGGAGATGCACAGACTATTAATCTGTGTATCTCCGGGAATAAAGTCTTGCTCTTGAGCCTTGGTCAATCAGAGGTGCCAAACTTTACTCAGTCTATTCTTTAAAAGATCTACTGATGCTAAAAATCTGATTAACCAAAGGGAAGGCACATTATCTTTCAAGTTCTGGAATGCTATTCAGAGGTGGTCCTGGCCTGTCTTCAAAGTTACTCCTCAAGGCTAATTTCTTTAATATGAGAAAGAAGGATCTGGGCCGTCAGAGCTCCCGTTAACCTTGTGTGGAATTGTGGCTGCTCAGCACTTTTCAAAACCAGGTTAAACTTCTAGCCTGATTTTTCCAACCTCGTCTTCAGCACTCCACGGTACGTTAAATCGACATATATTGCACACTTCCCCAAAACCCCTCCCCCAAACTCCTTCGGAGAGTCAGCCACCAGGCGAGCCTGTACCGAGCCCTACAAAAATACCACCGACAAATGGGAAAGTTCAAATAGTAAAACAGTGCTTAATGTGAGACAGGACTGACTGTGACTGATAAAGCCTTTGTGAACTTGTCAGAGAAAGGGCCCTAATGGAGCAATGTGATTTGCTACCTGAATGGTACATGTAATGGCAGCATATTTTAAGGGCTGCTATTAAGAGAAGAGTGTTTCCTTTAACAACAACAAAAAAGCATTAAAAAAGAATATTCTAAATTAATAAATACAAGACATCAAACAATAACCAGCTCTGAGAAACCTGCCCTGCCCTGGAGCACTACACGCTTAACAAGTCTTCAGTCTCTGTGTGGGAAGGATAAGAAATTTGGGCTCTATATCTTTTAATAGCAGGAAGATAAAGAAGTCAGTTGATGAAGACCCTTAGCACTTTGGTACCCGCTTGGGGAAAGCTTCTAATGCTCCTACCCAGCCAACCTGCTTTCTGGAACCTGAATTTAAAAAGACAGCCCTGAGTGCTGATGTCCTTCACAAACCGGACAGACTGTGATACTAATTCATCAGCTCTTTGCATCTAAAACCTCCAGATTGGGGTCTTTCCTCCTCCCCTCCCCAACCCACTGCTTTTGTGGGGGAAGCTAGAGAACAGCATTAAAAAGCAACCCTTAATCCTCTTTCCACCAAACACAATGGAGGGCACAAGCAAGATCCAACCCTCTGTTTCTAAGCTTCCATTGCTAGATAGGATTGCTAGAGAAGTCTGGACCCAACATTATTGCATCCTGCTACCACAAGGATGAGCTTAAGCAGAACACTGCTTCATGCTCTTTCATGGCAAAGCAGAGCCACATTTTGTCTGTCTCATCCAAAGCTTGCAGGCCTCAAAAGAACAAGCTGTCCACAGCAGAGGCCCGGGTGCTATATTCCCCATCTGGCTCTCCATGACTGCATGTACAGTAGCATGTGTCATACTCTCCAGCACAGACAGGAGCCAACAACTGGGCTTCTGATACTGCCTTTAACATGCAGGGTGTATGTGCGTGCATGCATGTCTCCTTCACCAGCCTGTTTGGGGCATGAGGGGGCAGAGGGGCAGGAGAGGAGAATGGAAGGGGCAGACACCTGTTAACCTCGTGTTCTGTGCCCCTTGCTTATCCATCAAAAGATACAGCTATGAATGCGCCAAGTGCTAAGTGATTTCAGTAGAATGCAGCACATATTACACCAGAAGTGGGTGAAGGGGGCTTTGGAACTCTTTTTGAGGCAGAAAGTCTGTGGAGATGTGCACAGTTCTCATCTTTCTATGCCCACTCACCAACCTGCATGGACAGCAGTCTGTTGGGAACATCCGTATGTCAGCTGATAAGAGGAGAGAGCAGACCACGTATGAAGGGTAGGATGGATCTCCAGCCCAACATAGAGCATATGGTGAAAGCAGCATCCCTGTCAGAGGAGAGCCAAGGTGACCACCTCACTAGTGCCACATTTCTTTGCTTTCCATACAGATTTACAAATTAACTGTAGCCATCACTAACTGTTTCAAAAATTGAGATAAAAATAGCATGTCTAGTTTGGAGTGCTTTAGTATAGGAACAATTCTACTGAATAGCATTTAAATACACTGCATTTATATAGCACCTTTCATCCAAGGGTCTAAGTGCTTTAATTAAAGTAGATATTATTCCCATTCATACACGGGGAAACTGAGGCACAGAGTGGTTAAGTGACTTACCTAGGTCACACAACAAATCAGCGAGAGTCTGGGTAGGACTCTGGCCCCCTTGATTCTCAGTCCTGCTGTCTGGGGTTAGACCACACTGCTGCCTCAGTCATGGAGCTATTCCTGTTGTGCCCTCCCCAGTGAAGATCTGCCCTCTTGCCACCTCCAGTGAGGTTTCACACCGTTTATGAAGCACATAAATATGACAACCAAAAAAAGTGCAGTAAACTAAACTTTTAAAAAAGCACGTTTGTGCTGTGTCTGTGCAAAGATAAAATAAATACATGATTACAAAATTAAAAAGGTTCACAGTATCACACACAGGTAGGTAGCTACAGTAGTGCACATTTGGAAACACTGTTACTACCCAGGATTCTCACCACCCAGCTGAAAGTCTCCTTTGGGAGCCCTGAGCAGGAGGTTTCTTTGCTGTCCACATCTTGGATAGATATAAATACATGTTTAGAGTTGCGCTCCATTCTGAAATGCAGTGCCAGGGATCCTGCAGTGCAGCAATACTGGTGTCAGCAAGCTCTTCCCCATCCCACTGGAACGGCTGCATCAACGAAAAGGGAACACATCAACCTGCAGAGGGAAACGCTGGTCTCTGAGTCTTCAGTGTCTGCATAGTGATTACTGAAAAAGCAGGGAGAAGGCAGTTAACATGTAAGCACCGCTGTAGGAATCTCATCTATCTTTGCATTTTAAGTCCTTTGAACAAAGAAAGAGGTCTGAAGAGAAAACCATGTTCATGTTGGGCCCTCCAGTAACAGGGCAATTTGGAAATGAATGCTATGGATCACTGAGGTTTGACTGCACTAAATGATTTAGTAGGCTAAAGGCAGCTGTGTTGTCAACCTCTGCCTTGATCCTGACTGCACAGCAGATCTTGCCTGCTGCCAAAGAACCAGTCAAAGCTACACTAGGACCATACTACAGCCATGCAAGCAAGCAGAGGCCAAGGTGACTTTCTCTTGCAAGCTGACATCTAGAGCCATGAGCTGGCATGCTGGCAATGCAGTGCAAGTCCTGAGCTTGACCCACCAGGCACCCACTGAATTTTTCTTATTACACTTACTGTATCGCTTTCCTCATCAGAGACAGAGTGGACTTGAGTGCTATAGTGGAGGGGGGAGTAAACCCAACTCCTCTCATCTGTAGGCTGCCAGAGTGGCCAGAGACGGCAGGGAGAGTGCAAGAGCAGCAGCAGCAGAATAGGGAGCAAAGGAGAGAAGAGGAGAAAATAAAAGGAGAAAATAAAAGAATAGGAAACAATACAGTGAGAACAGCTGTACACCAGAGAGCTGAGCTTAAACACAAAGCCTGAAAAAGAGCCTCTCCCATCATTACATACTTCAGTCCTAACACATGGGGCAGCCTGGCATCAGCACTACTAAATGGAGCCTCTACTTCCACTACAGTGGAGGTGACACCATCTCCTTCCACTGCTCTAGCACCCTCTGCATGAGGATCCACAAAAGTAATCCAGGCATCGATTGAGCCTTAACTCCTGTGTGTGGCCAGCAACATCCTCACAGAGATGGGACAGACACTCAGACAAGTTCTGCAATTTGCTCGAAGTCAGGCAGCAGGTCTGGGACCAAGCTAGAATTACAATCCAACTCTTCCAGCACCCAGCCCCATGTTCTATCCATAAACCATCTTTCTGCATGCCTTCACTGGAGGTGGCATCAGTACATTCAAAGTTACTGTCACTTGAAGTTTATAGGAACTGTTATGGTGAAACATGAAATCTTTTGATACACCTTCCTCCCCCTCTAAGTGCTAACCAAGTGTGGAGGTTTGGCAGGTTTTGATTATCGTGAACACAGGCCATGATGGGGATCTTACTAGGTAAATCAGTAAGACAGTGAGGAAATGGAGAATAGGGAACAGGTACACAACAGGGAGGTAACACACAGCTGGACTGTTCTGGGTAAAAAGCCTAGAGAGCTTACTAGCCCACAACAATATTCAAGAACCTTCTGCTTCCAGGCCACAGGAAGAAACTTGCAGCCAAAATTCAAGCCTGGCTGCAATTTCAGACACAGTCCCAGAGGAATCCACTTTTACCACAAGACGGTTTCATTTTCCCAGTTGCATTTAAAGGCATGAGGTAAAAAGGAGGATTGGATTAAGCCTGGTAAAGAGATTTACCAGCCTAGGGAAACAGTGCTGAGAGTCTAGGACGTACAGCTACAATGCACCGGCAGCAGAGCTTTGAAGCACTGGGGGGGGGGGGGGGGGGCCAGGGCGAAT